CTTGAATGGTGATGCCTGATGTATGGGAGTGGCCCCTTACACCTGATGTTGGGGACACCTGATGTAAGGGGGCACTCTAATGGTGACACCTGATATGCTGGAGCACTGTGATGGGGACACTTGATGTAAAGGGGGACTCTGATAGGACATCTGATGTAAAGGGGCACTCTGATGGTGACACCTGATGTACTGGGACAATCTGATGGGGGCACCTGATGTACGGGGGCACTCTGATGGTGACACCTAATGTACGGGGGCAATCTGATGGGGACACTTGATGTACAGGGGCACTCTGATGGGGACACCTGACGTACGGGGCCACTCTGATGGTGACACCTGACGTATGAGGGGCACTCTGATGGTGACACCTGATGTACGGGGACAATCTGATGGGGACACCTGATGTACGGGGGCACTCTGATGGTGACACCTGATGTACGGGGGCACTCTGATGGTGACACCTGATGTACGGGGCACTCTGATGGTGACATCTGATGTAAAGGGGCACTCTGATGGTGACACCTGATGTACGGGGGCACTCTGATGGTGACATCTGATGTAAAGGGGCACTCTGATGGTGACATCTGATGTAAAGGGGCACTCTGATGGTGACACCTGATGTAAACGGGCACTCTGATGGTGACACCTGATGTAAAGGGGCACTCTGATGGTGACACCTGATGTAAACGGGCACTCTGATGGTGACACCTGATGTAAACGGGCACTCTGATAGGACATCTGATATAAGGGGGCACAGGTTTTGGTTAATCTTTGTAATCTAATGACAATCTAATACATAATAATGTTTCCCAGGTCATGACACCGTGTGACAGACTCTCAGTGGCTCACACACAGTGGTGACATTATGCCCCCTGACTTTTTTTTACTGCACCCCCAGATCAGATAGGCTAGATCCGGCCCTGCTGGTAATGGTCATAAAGTTATGGCTGATCAGTGTCTATATTGATTACATGTGACATCACTTTTGCACAGCATGTTTGCCTTTGTATATGACCGCTAAATCCTATTATTATAGGTCGCGTGTCACACGGATCAGAGAACATGTTGTACTCGTCATGATTCAATCTTTAGTGTAGCAGTGGAGCCGTTGGTCGGATTGTTTGTCGGCGGTGGAACGGGCCAATCCCACCATTTTTATTTTCATGTCGAGATTTTAGCAGGTTGTGTGGGCTGTGACAACGACTTCCCCATGCAGAAGCCAATACCTGTCAATGGGCTGGTGACAAGCTGTTCTCTAGAACACTGACAATGTAGACTCATCATCACCGGCCCGATATGAAATGTTCCGATAGGTCCTTCCCTACCTTCATATTAGAGTTTGCACCGTTCACCTCCTGCATCTTTTATTATACATTGTATTCTTTTGTAGCCTCTCTGTATGTTTTATCTACAGTTGTGGCCAAAATTATTCAACCCCCACTGAAATTGAGTGTTTTGGCCAGTTTGACATTGCTTTTGATCATTCAGTCATCTTGCTTACATTTACATTAAAGAGGCACTTGTAGGTCAGACAAATATAACATAACAGTTATAATGAAATAACCACAAATGTCTTTTCTGTGCTCACAGCATTATCAGTTTTATTCAACCCCCAAGTGACATTCAATCTTAGTACTTAGTACAGCATCCTTTTACAGTTATAACAGCTTTTAAACGTGAAGCATAGCTTGACACAAGTGTCTTGCAGCGATCTACGGGTATCTTCGCCCATTCTTCATGGGCAAAGGCCTCCAGTTCAGTCACATTCTTAGGCTTGCGCACTGCAACTGCTTTCTTTAAGTCCCACCAGAGGTTCTCAATCGGATTTAAGTCTGGTGACTGCGATGGCCACTCCAAAATGTTCCAGCCTTTCCTCTGCAACCATGCTCTAGTGGACTTGGAGGTATGCTTGGGATCATTGTCCTGTTGAAAGGTCCAACGTCTCCCAAGCCTCAGGTGTGTGACGGACTGCATCACGTTTCCATCCAATATCTCCTGGTACTGAAGAGAATTCATGGTACCTTGCACACGCTGAAGCTTCCCTGTACCTGCAGAAGCAAAACAGCCCCAAAGCATGATTGACCCTCCACCATGCTTCACAGTAGGCAAGGTGTTCTTTTCATCATAGGCCTTGTTCTTCCTCCTCCAAACATAGCGTTGATCCATGGGCCCAAACAGTTCTAATTTTGTTTCATCAGTCCACAGAACACTATCCCACAACTTTTGTGGTTTGTCCACATGGCTTTTGGCATACTGCAGTCGACTCTTCTTATTCTTTGGAGACAGCAAGGGGGTACGCCTGGGAGTTCTGGCACGGAGGCCTTCATTACGCAGTGTGCGTCTTATTGTCTGGGCTGAAACTTCTGTACCCACATCTGACAAATCTTTTCTCAGTTCCTCAGCAGTCACACGGGGACTTCTCTCCACTCTACGCTTCAGGTAGCGCACAGCAGTCGAAGTCAGCATCTTCTTTCTGCCACGACCAGGTAGCGTTTCAACAGTGCCCTTTGCCTTGAATTTGCGAATGATGCTTCCTAAGGTGTCTCTTGGTATGTTTAACATCTTTGCAATCTTCTTATAGCCATTGCCCTTCCTGTGAAGAGAAATCACCTCTTCTCTTGTCTTCCTGGACCATTCTCTTGCCTTCACCATGTTTGTAACCACACCAGTAAATGTCTAGAAGGAGCTGAGTATCACAGTCATTTTAAAGCTGCCTAATTGGTGCTTATTATGCTTGATTGCTGCTCGGTGACATCCACAGGTGTTTTCAATACCTGATGGAAAGCACCTGTATGAACCTCTGTTCTTCAGAGTGGTAGTCTTTAAGGGGTTGAATAATTGTGGCAATGAAGAAACCACATAAGAACCATTTACTACTGTATTACATAAACAATTGATGTCATTTTAGTTGCATTTGGGTAGTTACAACGTCCTTGTAGGATTTGATTCTGAATACAATTCCAAATGTACACTATAGTCCCTAAACCCCTTTACAGCATTGGGGGTTGAATAATTTTGGCCACAACTGTATAAATGTATCTCTTCTTCTTCTGCCCTGGGATTAGAGGATATGGCTGCAAATTTAAAGGATCAGCCCATCCGAAACTGTGAAGTTTACAAGTTATGTGCAATTAAACCATGGCAACATCTAATGTTTGTGTAGTATTATGTTCAGCAGACTGTGTTCTTCTATTGTTGTGACTTAGATGACGTTCAGAGCACATTTTATGCCCAATTCATGCAAAACTCCACGTAATCCCAAGGGGTTCACATACTTTTTCTTGCAACTGTATATTATCGGTACATGGTGGAGTCAGAGGCGTCTCTAGGGTTGGTGTCACCCGGTGCGGTAACACTTGGTGACACCCTCCTCCGATGATCCCCGCAGAATGGATCGGATCTGCGGATTGAGCAAAATGGATCGGACTCTGATCCATTTTGCTCAATCCGCAGATCCGATCCATCCTGCGGGGATCATCGGCTTTCTTTACAACTTACCTTTTCTTGGAGCGGGTCTGGGACAACTGCGCATGTCCCGGTTTTCGATGATAGCAGTAGTTCTATCATCGATTGATCATGCCTGAAACCGGGACATGCGCAGTTGCTGCAGGGGGACATATCTACATGGGAGACACATCTTGCCAATACACTGGTGTTACTCCGCAGGATCGTCCTCATGCAACCTATACGGGGTGACATCGAACCCGATCCAAGAAAAGGTAAGTTGTAAAGAAAAAGTTTAAAGTAGGAGTTCTCACCATCCCTGTGCTGAGTTACCAAGTCTAAACACCAGTTCTGCCCATTATGAAGGGTTCCCACCATTCTTACACTAGGTTCCCAAGTTTGATTACCTTCTGTACCCATACAGAAGGGTTCCTGGCATCCTTGTTCTACGTTCCTAGGTCTAAGCACCTCATTATGAAGAGTTTCCACCATCCTTACACTAGGTTCTTGGGTCTGCATACCTGATGTACTCATTATGAAGAGTTTCCACCATCCAAAGTCTAAATACTTGCTGTATCCCTTATGAGACGTCCCCACCATCCATCTGTTCCTGCTTCTGTAAACCTGCTGTCTCCCTTAGGAGGGGTTGCCACCATCCTTACACTAGGTATATGGGTCTGTATACCTGCTGTACCCATTATGAGGGGCTCCCTTCATCTCTGCAGTAAGTGTTCAGGATTGTGCCCATTATGACGTACTCATAAGGAAGGGTTCCCACCATCCCTGTGCTGAGTTCCCAGGTCTAAACACCTGCTGTGGCCATTATGAAGGCTTCCCACAATCCTTGCACTAGGTTCCTGGGTCTGCATACCTTCTGTACCCATTATAAGAGGTTCTCACCATCCTTGTGCTAAGTGTTTTAGGTATAAAACACCTTTTGTACTCATTACGAGGGTTTCCCACCATCCTTATGCTAGGTTCCTGGATCTGCAAGGCTGATGTACTCAAAATGAAGGGTTCCCACCATCCATGTGCTGAGTTCTCAGGTCTAAACATCTGCTGTGCCCATTAGGAAGGGTTCCTACCATCCTTACACTAGGTTCTTGAGTCTACATACTTTCTGTGTCCATTATGATGGGTTTCCACCATCCCTGTGCTGAGCTCCTAAGTCTAAAAACTTGCTGTACCCCTTATTGGAGGTCCTCAAAGTTCATCTGTTCCTCATTCTCTACACCTGCTGTCCCCATAGGAGCCACCATTCTTACACTAAAGCAAGCTATAGACGGGTCGAAAACCGGTAGTTCGATTGGGTGACGTTACCACCAACGGTAAAAAAATCGGCCGATTTGCATCCCGTCTACGGCCGGCATTTAACCCCATAATTACTTCTGTCCCTGCAGAGAGCTCCGCTATTATATTTTATATGAAAAGTCTTGCGGTTGCAACAATGTATCCATTTGTATCCATTTCAGATACAGATGTTTTTATTCGGATACAAATAGATACATTGTTACAACCGCAAACAAAATGTCATCTAGTTAGGCTTTACATAGTGGCGGACTGACAACTCATGAGGCCCCCGGGCAATAGGGGATCATGGGGCCCCTGTGTCCTTGCCCAAATTTAAAAAAGCCTATGAAAAAGGTACCAGGGGCATTTCATGGGGACCCCTACTGACCCCGGGCCCTCGGGCAGTGCCCGAGTTTCCAAATGGTCTGGAATTCTTCTTCTTCTTTTGCTTCTTCTTCTTTTTCTTCTTCTTGCAGGTCACGGCTCATGCACAGATTTTTTGTCGGCAAAACGATCGGCCGATTTGCCCATCATTGCCGGGAAAATCGTCCGATTGTCAAAATCGCCCGCATATTTTCCAACATGCCCGATAAAAAAAATGTGCAAAAAGCCCGAAAAAAGGGCCGACTAATTAACCCACTAACGGTGCGAAAATCGGCCGATTTTCGACCCGTCTATGGCCGGCATTAGTTCCTGGGTCTGCATACCTGCTGTACCCATTATGAGGGGCCTCCACCATCCCTGCAGTAAGTGCTCAGGATTACACACCCATGGGGCCCATTATGAGAAGCTCCCATATTATAAAATGTTATATTATGTAAAAGGTAACAGAAGGAACCGGAACACACAAAGGTGATTGGGAACGGCCAACCCTTCCAAGCCCATCTCCGTTTAATGAACATTGTCTCTTTGATGGACTGTCTTGGTCCATCTGTAGGTCGGCCAATTATATTCAAGCATTCAATTCTATCATTTCCCAAGCGGGTTTTGATCTGATTTGTGTCTCTGAGACAAAGCAGACTGATAAATCCATTGTCAGAGATTTCTACTTTGATACGAGAGAGTCAATGTAACTGAATTCCTTTCTAAATAGGAGTTCGTTCTGTAACCAAGGCAAGGCCCACTTGACAAGTGTTTTTTTTTTTTGTACGTCCTGCAGACCTGCCGACTGCTATCTTCTGGCCTCTATTAATTAGTGGATGTAGAAGGATCCTTAATTAATTCAGGCCAGGTTAATTCAATCAGAAAGTCGGTGGGAAGCAGACAGGCGGGCACAGATCTCTAGGCAAACTGGGTCAGGTTGACACCACTTCACGCTGCGGCCGGTTCCATGAACCTTGCTTCAAAGTCAAATCTCTTTTTTTTCCCATCACAAGCCTTTGAATTCTATTGTTGGTTAATAAGATCTTTTATCATTTCAGGTTATATGAATTCTCTGTTCTTTTCTGATTAGATGGATTCTTGTGATATCGAGCTATTGTCTCCCAAGGTGCGGAACAACATCGAATTTCCTCCAACATTCTGCGCTGACTAATGCGCACCCTGCCACACTGCTGAGAAAACTGCACACAGTGCAGCCCTATTGGGGCCTCATGCAGACTGGATCTTTAGCCCCAATCAGTGGCGTCCCGAGGCAGGTGTCGGGGGGGGGGGGGGGGGGGTACGGTCCGCACCGGGTGACACCGACCGCACGGGGTAACACCGGACCCGCTCCACAAGAAGGTAAGTTGTAAAGAAAGCCGACGATCATCGGCTTTCTTTACAACTTATATTTTCTTGGAGCGGGTCCGGTGTCACCCCGCATAGGTTGCATGCCGACGATCCCTGCAGGATGGATGGGATCTGTGGATTGGGGAGCATAATAGATCGGAGTCCGATCCATTATGCTCAATCCACAGATCTGAGCCATCCCACGGGGATCGTCGGCATGCAACCTATACGGGGTGACACCGGACCCGCTCCACGAAAAGCTAAGTTGTAAAGAAAGCCGACGATCCCCACAGGATGGATTGGATCTGCAGGTTGGGGAGCATAATGGATCAGAGTCCGATCCATTATGCAAAATTCGCAGATCCGATCCATTTTGCGGGGATCGTCAGAGGGGGTGTCACCAAGTGTCACCGCATCGGGTGATACCAACCCTAGGGACACCTCTGGCCCCAATGCATGAGGATACAGCATTTAGGTGCGGGTGGAAGGTGCACATGCGCAGTCTGGCCCCTCGGCTGGCAGCCTTATAAACTCCAGTTTTTCCTACCGTGTGTACGGGGCATTAATGCTAGTAGTGCTCAGTGCACCATGAGCAAAATTGTGGGTTTTATGTTCTTGAAATATGGCAAAAAATTAGGGGGTGCCGTGAAATTTCACCAAGTTGGTGAAAGGTTGTCTTTGGTGATCTTTAAAGTGATTGAAAAGTTATATTAAAAAATAAATAAATAAAATAAACGTCATACTTACCTGCTTTGTGCAATTGCATTGCACAGAGCAGCCCCGATCCTCCTCCTTTGGGGTTCCCCACGTGCGCTCCAGGCTCCTCCTCTTCTGCAAGTGCCACCATAGGCATCTGCTTCCAGAAAGGCCCAAATACTTCTCGTAGGGTCTCAAGAAACTCATGGGTGGTACAATCTGGCTTATCCTGCTTTAGATTCCTCACATTGTCAGAAGCAGGAGTCCGTAAGCTTTCCACTGCCCTCTGTCTCTTCACATCATCGGCTACTTCCCACTCTTTTATGGCTTGAAGGCTTAGCCATCCCAAGTGGCAAATTGATCCTCCCCTAGGGGGGTAGGGGACTTGCCAGAGAAGAATCTCAGTCTTCGTTAGTTATGGCTGGTGATAGAAGTGGAGTTCAATGGAGTCTCTATAAACTTCCCCAGTTCAGCCAGTGTAGTTGCGGGAATAATCCCAACGGGGTCTGCGGAAGTAGACGGCTCAGGTTCAGGGGTTCCTTTCTTTGGACATTCTGTGCTGTTGTCAGTGGGGCCCGGCTGTAACAACTGTGCTATCACTGTGTCAGACAGGTGTATAAGGAGGAACAACCTTTTTCCATTTGGCCCGCACCAGTACATTGGATACATCTGGACTGCCTCTTATGTCTAGGACACCCACTCTCTGTTCAGGGAATGGGAGCCATCAGCATTTGCTCGATTTGCCCTTCAGTCCAGTCATCTCACACATTGGTCTGGTCTTCCATTCTCTTCTTGGCACCACGTGGTGATCTTGGAGGGTTCCATGCTTCTTGCTTGGGCTTCACAGACTTTCTGGACAGGGAAATCCCGGACGAGCCCCCACATGTACCACTACTCCCTTAGAGGTCGCTAAATAATTTTCAGGTTCCCTGTCAGATTTGACCCCACTCTGAAAGTCCAACCCCTGCTGAACCACTGTACACTTCTGATCAGAGTAAAGTCTCTCAATATTACCAGAAAAGAGACTCACACATGAGTTACAGAGAACTGATTCTCTTGTTATCCCAATGGGGTCTGCTGAAGTAGATGGCTCAGGTTCAGGGGTTCCTTTCTTTGGACATTCTGTGCTGTTGTCAGAGGGGCCCGGCTGTAACAACTGTGCTATCACTGTGTCAGACAGGTGTATAATTTCTTCTTCAGGTAAGGGAGGAACAACCTTTTTTCCATTTGGCCCGCACCAGTACATTGGATACATCTGGACTGCCTCTTATATCTAGGACACCCACTCTCTGATCAGGGAATGGAAGCCATCAGCATTTGCTCGATTTGCCCTTCAGTCCAGTCATCTCACACATTGGTCTGGTCTTCCATTCTCTTCTTGGCACCACATGGTGATCTTGGAGGGTTCCATGCTTCTTCTTGGGCTTCACAGACTTTCTGGACAGGGAAATCCCGGACGAGCCCCCACATGTACCACTACTCCCTTAGAGGTCGCTGAGTAATTTTCAGGTTCCCTGTCAGACTTGACCCCTCTCTGAAAGTCCAACCCCTGCTGAACCACTTTAAACGTCTGATCAGAGTAAACTCTCTCAATATTACCAGAAAAGAGACTCACACATGAGTTACAGAGAACTGATACGTTGTTTATATTAGAGCTGAGTATGAGCACAGTAAAGCAGCACAAAATTATAGGTGTGCAAAAGTCAGCACCACATATAGCAAAAATCTCAGTCATCTCTAGATGTCCTGCAATTCAGAATTTACCAAAGACCTCAACTTTGAGATGTTTCTGTCCCCAGTGAGCAAAGGAGACCTTTTAAAGAGTAAGGCTAGCTCACTTTGGGCCCTCAGAAGCTGACAACCAGGTTCAATCTGGGGTAAGGAAATAGCGCTTTAGTTGGAAAGACTAAAGTCCCTTTAACTGCAGTGGAAAATCTTCTGTGCGCTTATTGGGGCCCAGTTGGTGCACTACAAGATTTCAGATCTTATTGGTTGCAACTGGTGGAAGTCCCTCAAAAGGATTTATGCAAGCACAGGCACTATCCCTTTCAGTGGAATTCAACGTGGGCAGTACCGCTTTAAGGCACAAGATGAAATACAGATTTTAAGCAAGGGGTTTAAGGGGTGGGCAGAAACACTTATTGACAAGGGGTTAGGTTCTCTCTAGGTTGCAATAGCAACTGGCAACACTGACAAGTATCCCTTGATGGATGCAAACCAATTGCAGAGGAAACAGTGGTGTGGCTTAGCCCACAGCGGGCAGACACTGCAACAGGCTCTGATGACTGGATTATACTGGAGATGCCTTTGCTAATAGGCCGGGTGAACTAGACCTCAACTTGTGTAACTCGTGAACAAAGTCAGTAGATAGAGAATAGACAATGGTCCATTCAATAGAATGTCAGTTGCAACTGAATTTGCCTGGAGATTGGGACTCTCTCACCTGATCAGGGGCGGACTGACCATTTGAGCAATCGGGAACTGCCCGAGGGCCCAGGGTCAGTAGGGGGTCCCATGAAATGCCCCTGGTACCTGTTTATAGGCTTTTTTGGGTGTGGTTTGAGTGTGGGCAAGGACACAGGGGCCCCATGGTCCTCTATTGCCTGGGGGCCCCATGAGTTGTCAGTCCGCCCCTGCACCTGATCTGTGGCATCATCCCAGTCACTGGTGGTTGTACTGTAGATGGGGGCTCCCAGCAATCCTATGGTTCCTCCTGCAGAGTTCACTAGTGGTTGCAGCACGCAGGTCACCAGCTGATAGGGTAGTTCTGCAGATTCCTGGGCGATGTCAGTGGACAGCCGTCCCTACCTCTTTCTCCACTCTCTCTCTATCTCTCTCTGTGGCCTGGTCCGATCCTCTGGCGTTCCGCACAGCTTTCTCCACACACCTCCCTTCCAGGTCTCTCCCAACTCACTTCCCGTCCCTGTTCCCGGGCTTCTACATTTATATGCCTCCTCCCACACGCCAGCTCCTTTGGGAAATGTAGTTCTCCCAACGAGCTTCTAACAAAGTTCGGC